AATATATACAGTTCTAAGAGTGATTTATCCATTTTTCCCATCTTTTTCCCCAGTAAAAATTAGTATTCATGTATTTTAACAATTATGTCGCTCACTTTTAAAATTACTTAAAAGATGCTTAATCTTCAAAACCTAAGGAAATTCAAAATGTCAACACAGATCCACCGCCCACCAACAAACTTAGTAAAAGACACAAAATAGGCTATTAGCCAAAAAGATACCTGTGAAAAAATTCAATCCCAGTTATTGCACGCCTTGCTGATTCTCGTTTCTGAACATTAAGAAATCCAATCATGCGGCGTACCAAGGCAGTGTATGCCAGACAAGCACTGTTTCGCACCTCCCAGTATGGAGAGGAGAATGCGCGAATTGCAACAATCAAAGCTTCAGCAGAAAATCCTGAAGTATCAGTTGCCAGGTTGGTGTCATTGAAAGCAGCTCTAAGGGCATTGAATGCATGTACTGTCGGGATTACACCTTCGTCTCGGAACTTGGAAGTGTTCCCACAAGTATTTATATCAGATGAAAGAGCAGCATCAGTTTCTTGGTTTGACATTATTGATGATGATCCACATAGCTCAGTGCTAGAACCATCTACTTTTACATCCACTAGAGATTTTTTAGCAACATCAATCAGCCACCTAAGTGCCTGTGGGAGAAGCCTCTTTGGTGCACCTTCTGGCTCCGAGAGAAATAAAGCAATGAAAGCAGCAGGAATACCTGCACTCCTTCTTAACAAATCATCCACTGTTTGTTCTTTGGCTACTGTTCGTTCCATAAGCTGGTCCATCCAGGATTCTGTCAACTTACAGAGTCTGCAAAATCAATGCCATCCGATAAATGTATTAATGGCTATATAACTTTACAAATAATGCTCCCCATTTTAATATGCAATATATTGAGGAATAGAAAACAGCTACCCAATTTAGTGTTAAGAAGTGTATAGCAGGATTATGTTAGAATAAAGGGTATATTACCTAATCTTTGTAATCTTCATAATAAACACTATTTCCTTTTGTTACTATTCAACTGTATATATAGAACCCTACTATTCAATGAAATACAAAACAATTTATTCTTCCACATGGCATCAGGACTTTAAATTAAAAAAATCTCAAACTCTTATATAAACCCTATTCGGTCTTCATTGTGAAATAAGAAAAACCCTAGAGGAGGAGCTGGGAGGGGGGTCAGCCTTCATAGCCGGCCACCATAGTTTAGCGGCCAGCCACCAGTCACCAGCAGCCAAGACCGGCCTTCATCACCAGCAGCACCAACAACCTCGCCGCAACCTGCAGCTTCCTCTCCTACAGCCGCAAGCTGCAGCCCCTCCTGCGTCCCTCTTACTACTACTCAGTCATGCGCTGCCCCTGCTGCTTGACTGCTCCAGACGTTGTTGCTCCACCAGACACGGACCAGCAGCACCAGCTACACAGACCAGTCGCTTCGCTCCTCTGTGTGCTCCCATCAGCCGAGCAACTTCCTGTCCAGCTGGTAAAATCCTTTCTTGGACTCCTTTATTTGGCCTTAATTGCTCTAAAATTCTTAAAATATGTCAGAGGTTACATTTTAAATTACTAGAACAAATTTCAATATGAGAAATCCATCACAAACTATGGAGAATATCTGTCAATCCAAGCGACTTATCACTTTACTGGAAAAGATTATTTAACTTGGTCACCATTGATCCATAACATTCTCAAGAGAGAGGAAAACACGGCCACCTTCTTAATTCCAGATCAAAACCAGGAGTTCCAACCTTTGATGCTTAAAATGAAGAAAACTCAATGATTATGACCTTCTTGTGAAATCTCATGTAGTCAGAGATACATTAAATGGTGATGTTCCTACCTACTGGAAAAGAGGGGTGAATGCAATCGGAAAGACCTATTCTAGGGTCAAGGATGCGGCCCAAATTTATACTTCTTGGATACACAGGAGATACCATGTACCACCCTCTCCACAAGTACACCAGACAAACAATGGCGCCATCAAAGAAGACTAGAACAATTTTCCTTCTCTATTCTCAAGGTTATGTTCCTTCTTTATTTTTTATTCTAATAACAAAAAATTACGTTGCTATGTATGTGAACTAGCAAAGCAACGACATATAATTTTTTCTCTTAGCAATAAAAGAAATAATTTTCTTTTTATTTTGATACATATTGATATTTGGGGTCCTTCAAGTATTCTTAATATTTTTAGGTTCCAATAGTTTGTCTCTTTTATTGATGATTGTACTCAGATGACTTGGTTTCTTCTATTAAAGTCTAAAGATGAATTCAATCATATTATTTCCCAGTTTTACACTATGATCCATATACAATCCAAGATAAAAGTTAAATGCTTCAGAACCAATAATGTCTAAGATTATTTTAACCATAATTATCCTCCTTTCCAAAGAAATGAAATGTTCATGAGTTTTTCTGCATTTATACTCCACAACAAAATGGAGTAATAGAATGGAAAAAGAGCCACTTACTTGCCACTAGTGAGCTTCTTCATTTCAAAACTATGTTCCAACACAATACTAAGGGGAAACTGTATTAATTGCTACCAACCTTATAAACCGGTCACCATCTCAGGTATTAGGCTTTCACAATCCTATAGAAGTTTTTGCCCCCTTTTTCCTTGAGGCAAGAATTTCCAGCAACCTTGTTATCTAGGTTTTCGAGTGTGCTGCCTGTGTTGACATAAATTAGTCACAAAGAGGGAAACTTGACCCTAGATCTATTCAATGTGTTTTAGTGGGATATCCGTCTGCTCAGAAAGGATATAAATGTTACCATCCCACAACCAAAAACTTTTTTGTATCGGTTGATGTCACGTTTATTAAGACATCATCCTTCTTTGATACACTTTATCTCAAAAAGGATATAAGAAGAATCAACCCTTCTTTTATCTTCCCCTACCTTTACAGACTATGCACTCTACAACTATCCCAATAGAAACCCAGTGCCTACAAATTGAGCCTAACCCTATACCTCCAAAAAATGAGTTTGAACCTCAGTCCAAACATAACTCGCTATTATCCTACGTATATCCGAGAAGGAAGAACCAAAAATCCAATTCAACGCATGTTCAAGAATTTGAGTCGAGCGCTGAAAATGAGGTAAACTCTAAGAACTCTATTTCTTCTTTTTTCTTTTGAAATAAAAAGAACTCTATTTCTTCTAATATTAACATACTTATTGCACTTAGAAAGAGTACGAAAGATTGCACTAAACATCTCCTCTATCTTATCTCGAATATTAGATAGCTTCAAAAATACTCCCCACCTTACAAATCTTATGAGCCTGAAAATAGTATCTATTCACAAAACATTATTTGAAACTTTAACCAATAAGGAATTGAAAATACTATAAATGTTGAAATACATGCACTTGGGAAGAATCAGACATGGGAAGTAGTGGGCCAAAGGAGAAAACACTGGTAGATTGCAAATGGGTATTCACTGTCAAATACAAGCCCAATGGAACAACTGAAAAATAGAAGGCAAGATTGTAGACCAAAAGGTATACCTAGACCTACATAATTGACTACCAAGATACATTTGCATCCATTTCAAAGATGAATACGATATATATCCTATTGTATTAGCTACAAACTTCGATTAGCAATTGCAGCAACTCAATTTGAAGAATATCTCCTTGCATAGGAAATTAGAAGAAGAAAATTACATGGAAATTCCCTCGTTAATTTGGGAGTAAGAACAAACAGACTATACATTTGAAAAGTCATTATATGGGCTTAAACAATTCTCCTTGAACATGGTCTGAAGATTAGTAAGG